ATGCAAATTCTTAAGGTATGACAGGGCGTTTAATTTTACAAATGTATGAAAGAAATTTGAGAAATAAGACAGTTATGTATCATCACCCCCCTCGACTCTGTTGCATCCAGAGCAAATTGTCTTTAGAAGTCATCTAATATGTAAATTAGTCTAAAACTATTGCTCAAAAAGTCTGATTGAAATAAACCGATTTAGGAAGAAAATCATAAAGAGAAAGAGAAATCAAGTGGAAGAGGGAATATCTGGTAGCAACACATAGTAACACATGGTGGTGGCAGCATCATGCTGTGGGAATGTTCTTAATATAAAGTAATCAGAGTTAACTGGAAGATGTTTGCAGCTAAACAAAGAGAGCTTCTTTAAGAAAAAAAAAAGCTGCAAAATGGGGCCACAGGTTGACCTAGGAATGTAATGACCCTCAGCATAGAGCCAGAGGTAAACTGGAATAGATAAGAAAAAAGAAATATTCATACTTTAGAACTGCCCTGCAGAAGTCCTAAACAAAATCAAAATCTGTAGAAATATTTAATTAAGATTTTAATTTGGAAAAAAAAGTCACAAATTCAAAAGAATCTAAGTTACAAATAAAATCTACTATAACTTAGATGATCAAATAAAATGCCATTAGAATGCTTTAAATGCTTTGGTTGTAACAGGTTAAATATGGAGAACATTAAAGGATAACAATACCTTCTCAAAACACCACTAAATCAAGAGAACAGCTAATATAAACTTGAGTAAGATCACTGAGAATATTCGCCTAAACATCTCATTTCAAGTTTTATCATTGTACATTCATAACTTTTGTGAGAATAAACATGAACTCTGTGCTGATGGACTCACAGTCCTGTCATCGTAAGATCCCCTTTATAATGTTTAATTAAGTTTTTGAATGATGTTCCCAGAGTCTGGGGTTAGGTTGACCTTGGTTCTGCTTTAGCCAACAAATTGCTTGTTTAAGCTGATCTGCAGTGAATTGGAAGCTAAGGAAGTGTTTATTATTTGAGATGAGAGGCTCTCTGCCAGCTCTTCTTCCTAAGTCCGCGATTTCTTTCCATTAGAGACTAGAGGCTCTTTGTTTGCTTTGGTTCTCTGAGTGTCCATCTTATCTTGTTCAACACATTACTGGGATAAAGTATTAAACCTGAAGTAATCTTATTCAACACTTTTATGCAGTGCATTTTTATTTTCTGTGAATGTTGAAAATGATTTGCTAAACTAGATAGGATAGGATCATAACATTTTAACATTTCTACAATCAAAAACAAAAAACATGCTCATAATTATCAAGTATCACTTTATAGTGACAACATACAGAATGTCTGTACTGTACTGTAGGTCACAGGCCATGTTACAGCATTGGCAGTAATATACAGCTGAAATAATTGGTAAAATTGGTAAAAATTGGTAAATGGTAAAAAACTGAGCTGTCAACACTTCATAAGCCTTACAAAATAATCACCTTACAATTTCAAAAATAAAACAATAAAAATATAAATGAAATAAATTAACAGTTTGAAATGAAACAAAGCATAACTGCACAGGGAACATCTGCGTCAGATTTCAATCAAATCTTTGCAGTTTTATTGAAAAACAACGATTACAATAATAAGAACAGTGTGAATGCAGTTTTAGCACTAGGTAGTCATTGAAGACAATTTTATATTAGGCAAGAAAGATGTTCATTTAGAGACGTGAAGCGAGTATATTTTCCTTATAGCTTATTTTAAAAGTAGTTGGAAAGTAATAACAGCAGGGGGAGTTAATTTACATAAAATGATTGTGTTAAATAAATATCGGCAGGCAGTGTCTAGCAGACAGCAGTTTTAATAACCTCAGTTTGGAGAGAGAGAGAGAGAGAGAGAGAGAGAGAGAGAGAGGTTCTGTCTGAATAGCTGAGAAAACAGAATTTTGGCAAAGATTCAGTTCTAAAGGAAATTCAGTCACTATGTTGTATTTTTCACATTTAATGCTGCCAAATGTTGCTCCAATTTCATGGCAGCTTAACCCTTTTTTGGAGCGTTTTAGCCAATAATTATTTGACCACTTGGGGGCCCTCGTGTGTCATGCAATGAAACAATACTTAATGCAGTTACATAAAAGGTTATAAGAAACACAATATTGTAATCCTGTTTTGGTCACAATGCATTCTTTTTGCATCTGAAAACAGTCTTTCTGAGCATACATGAGAATCAAGGTGGTTACCTGCTTTGCTTAGTTTCTGTTTTCATGTTGGAGACCATTTAATCACTTTGTCATTTTTATCTTTTTGAATTTTATATTCTGTTCTCTCTGATTGGAGATGTTTTCTCACTAGGGAACAGATTTTCACTGTAAGTTATGCAATAACAAAAATAAATAGGTATTTCAAATAGGACTATATTTCTATCAGAGCAGATAAACAAGGTCCTTGACTTGAAAAGCATCTAATGTAAATTATTTAGAAATAGTTTTCAATAGAAATTTGTGTTATTTTAAGATGAGAGCTTTAAGTTATCCTAAATAAACTTTTTGAACTGGTTATCCTTAAATGATTATTAATTACTGGAAACATACTTTTGGAGGACACAGTTCCTTCAGTAAATGCACTCTGATGCATCCAGCAGTGATTGCTGCAGGACATCCCTCACATAATCTGCTCCTCCAGTTAGTTTTGTCATAGAGTGTTCAATATCATGGACAATCAATAGTAGACGTTACATAAGCATCCGGACTGTATTCTATGTATGCTGTATAACTTAAGTGGGATTTTTGTGTCACCTGTTCTTATTTTCCAACAGGTCTTTTGTTTATTGTTACGAAGTTAGTTTACTTCTTTGGTCTCATTCTTGTTGTTTCAGGTTGGTGCATCTATTTGCTTTTAGTCATTTAATTTATTATTGTGTTCTTAATAAGTAATTTCTGTTAGTTACCTATTTTAAGACTATCTTCAGTATATCTATTCAGCATTATAAGGGTTCCAAGGCCGCGGATGCAGGCGAGGGTCATGCAAGTCATGGCATTGTATTTGTTCTGTTTTCTCATTATTTGTAATTATTCTCTACTAAAATGTATTGGGTGGAATCGAGGATCGTAACCATTAGTACGATAACAAAATACAGACCAGTAATTAGCAGGGAGAGCTAATGTGAAAGTAAACAAGTTTTCCACTGGTTCCTTGGGTTATTCTGCACAACTTTCTTATTGGCACGCCCACTTCCGCCTAACTAGATTTTTTGCTACATAGCCACAAAACATAGCTGTACTTTCTATGAATTCTCCAACATTTTAGTCCGATCAGCATGAAACTTGGTACAATATAGAGACAAAGTTTATCGAATTGAAAGAGGAGGGATTTCAAATGTTTAGAAATTGTTTAAGCCACATTAGGACAAACATTAAGCAAAAGCTAGCATAAAAGTAAAGCAAACATTTTTTGCTAAAATAAAAGTTAATTTAGTTTAACTTTTAAAAAATGTGTTGATTCCCCAACAATTTTTAAAGTAAATGGGATGAAGGATGGTTTGAGCCCATGTACTTGAGTCCAGAACAATATGACACTAGGGGGAAATTAATTCGTAGAGCTAGTATGGCTAAAGGGATTTTCACAAAACTTGGTAGTTATCTTCAGTATGTAACCTTGGACTTTTAAATATGGTAATTATTGATCAAATTGGGGGGGCTTATACGCAAAAATATACAGCTGACCTTTCACTTTAAAAAAAATTATTTTAAAATCAGTTGTGACATCTGGAATGTTGAAACTTGCAGAATATATTCTAATATTTTTTTTTTAATATGTGTGATAAAAATTTCATATATATTTCAAATATACTTATTCAAAATGGTATTTCTTTATGCTAGCAGCTTTATCTCCAAATTATTAGCACAAAATATCTTTATTATATTTTTGAATATTGATATTGAAAAATGCATTTTGATCAAAAACATTAAATAAGGCCGGGACACTCTTGGAACCTGTTCATAATTGTCTGCAATTCTAGTTTATGTTTGTTTCTGCTCCTTAGCTCTTTTAGTTCAATTGTGCCTATTTCCGCTCATTTTTTTTACTCTATTATATCAGCTTAGGGTTGTCAAACCCTCCATCTGAATAGTACAAACTGTAGCTCCTAGTTCCTGTTTCTAGCTGCTGTTACTTCACCTTTTTTGAGGTTAACAGTAAGAACACTTTCCAGGATATGAGAGGAGCCCCGGAATGTAGTCCAGGCGGACCTCATTATGCACCATAAAAAGTACATGAATGATACTTGTTACAATTGGCAATACAGCCTTCTGGAAATTAACTACAGAAAACAAAAATTACACAAAATAATGACCAGCTGAAGTTTTCCATTGATAACCCATAACACATGAAGGTGTGTAAGAAACTTCATTTATGCTTTGGCTTCGGTGTCCTTTCAGATTTGCATTTTTCGGATGACCAATTATTTGCTGGATCGTTTGGTTTCTTGTCTTTCACTAGTGCCATGCAGATCCCCATGTCTATTCATTGTCATGCTCTATAAGTTAAGATCATCTCGAGCCAATTTTTTGTCTTGTTAAATTCTTTTAAACTCATCATGCCGTCAATATTTCAGTCTGCACCTTGACAGGTTAGGCCAATTTCATTAACTTTCAATAAAAAGTCCAAACTATGAAACTGAACATCAAGGTCGAAGGCACATTCAGTGGTCAAATTTTTCATAAAAAAAAAAAAAAAAAAAAATATATATATATATATATATATATATATATATATATATATATATATATATATATATATATATATATATATATATATATATATATATATTTTTTTTTTTTTTTTTTTATCATAATTTAAATTAACCAAACTAATTAGTATTTTGGAAAAAATTCTGAACTAATTAAGATATATGTTAAGTGCATCGCTTTTCATCAATGCATAATCTACTTTGATGTGCAGATATAGTTTGACACTAGTCAGAGAGCTTAACAACAAAAGTGCTGAAATTAACTTTTAATATTTTATGTGGAACCCATTTATAAAAATCTGCAACATTTAGTGCCTCTTTATTGGAAGAATCCCGTTTCCAAGCGGACTACTGTATTTGTTTCAATGAAGAATATGACACTTAGAATATTACAGACATCTTTTTTACAGGGGCAACAAAGCCAATAAAGCATCCATACTGTGAAGTCTATGTTCACTATAACAGCGTTTTACTTTCCACATGAGTGGGATAAACAAAATATCAGTTTATGATTTTAAACTTCCTCAGGTGGAGGAATAACTATAGCATCCTGCTCTGTCTCCCAATACAGAAAGGAGTCAGATGCATTTCTCCTCCGCCGTCTCTGTATTCAGCGTCACCCGGAGCGCCGGATCTTTTGTGCATGGCACTGTAGATAAACATGTAATGGTTTTAGTTTCGTCTTTGCTCTCAGAGGAGTAAGAGGCTTGTGAGTTTCGGACTGAGGAAGGTTGCGAATCACTCAGCTTGTCTTCCTTTGGAAGGTTTCCATCGTCTGGCTCAGTTTCCTTCGGCATGTAGAGAAAAGTCTGAGATATACTCCTGATTTCTTGTAGGTCGTTGGACACGAAGGAGGGAGAGTCCTGGCTGGATATGACTGAGGAAAGCTGATGAGCATCTGTACAGGGAAAGTTTCCTCGTCTCGGTTGCCTTCTTCTTGCTCCTATTTTACAAAACAGGCACTTGATTTTCTCAATAAGTTTAAGGAGAACAGCTTTACGCAGAAGGATGTAGATCCAGGGGTCTAGAATAGGGTTAAAGGAGGCGAAGCGAATTGAACGGAGGTCTGGGTTCTTTTCCAAGCGCTTCTCCACTGGAGTCTTATAAATCTGGTTCAGAAACACCTGAGCCTGTAACAGAGAAATATTAATTAAACACATTGAAGCTTCAGATTTTCTTGGATCTAGACAATCTTGTAAAAATATCCAACTTGTTCACATTATGTCACTTTAAAACCACATCTAAGCATTTTATTGGGAGAAGGCATATTTGTTAAGGTAAAGGAAAAAATTATCATTTAATTCCACATTTGTATTTAGTGGAGCAGTGGGTAGCACTGATGCCATGCAGCAAGAAGGTTCCGGTTTCAATTCCCGGCCTGGAGCCTGGGGTCATGGAGTTTGGATGTTCTCCCTGAGCATGCATGGGTTCTCTCAGGGTACTCTGGCTTCCTCCCACGGGCCAAAAACATGACTAAATTAGTTATTAGGTTAACTGGCTTCTCTAAATTCTCCTTGGGTGTGCGTGAATGGATGTTTGTCCTGTTTGTCTCTGTGTTGCCCTGCGATGGACTGGAAACCTGTCCAGGGTTTATTTACCCTGCCTCTCGCCCATAGACAGCTGGAGATGGGCACCTGCACCCCTCGCAACCCCGACTTGGGAAAAGTGGAGTCCGTTTGATGGATGGATAGATTTGCATTTATGCCCCATTATTTTAATACTTAGAAATAACTGACTTGAGCTGACAGTTATTTAGTAACCAGACTCAATCTATGTTTTAATTTCTTCTGTGAAGATCTCAACGGTTTTATGCTTAAATATATATTTGTGAACAAACAACATTATGAAGACGGTAGACCCTAAGAAGTTAAAAGCAGGTATACCATCAGCTAATAGGAGCAAGGGTGCAGGCAGCAAACAGCTAAATTGTGCCTGAAAATGGCAGGGATATAAACTTTAAACAAATTAACAAAGAGAAAGTGTTGAGATCACACATATAGACATGTGCAAAATTATTTATTTATTTTATTTATTTTTTTACAAAAAAAACATTATCTAATAAAACCAACAACAACAACAAAAAAAACTACTCCACAAAATTAAAGTGTGCCAGACCACCAAGGGTAATGGGCCATCAAGTGATATCAGACCAAACTATTACTAAAAGACAGAGGAAGCCCATGAGAATGTTGAAGGCAAGGATTAAGGATGGTGCTTTTTCTTTTATATCACTTGCAAACCATAATATTTTACAGTAGCGTAAAACAACATTTAAGTAGGTAAATATGCTGCAACTTTATCTGACTTGTGGTAGACATGTGGTAGACCCCATCCCCCTGTTGGTTTAAGACACTACTGATTTGTAGTGAAGGTCTTCAGCATTATTATTACTTTATTTTTTTTGGTTGCAATATTTGTCTTTTGCAGAATTTTTCTTTTTTTTTAGATCCATTTTGTGTTATTGAGATGGAATCCTGTATGCATTTGTAGCATATTTTGCCTAATGTGATGCATGCAATCATATGCTGCCTGTCTCCACCTGTCAAACACCATAAGGGATAGGATATAAACAATCTCCAAAGCTTTGAACATTTCCCAGAGCTCTATTGATTCCATCATCTAAATATAAGAACAGAATGACACAACTATAGACATACCTAAACTGTACAGGCCAGAGGTGTAGAGATCTAAAGTTTAAGGGAAAGATTCTGTCAACACAGCAAACTTTCTAAGAGATCCACAAAACTTTCCTTGAAGGCACAGAGCCATGTTATTCGACATTTATTAAATCAAGACGGCATTAACTCACTTTTGTTGCATACAATCTTCTCAAGACAAATTACAGTATCCTGCTAACATAGTAGCTGTTAGTTTTGTCTTTTAAGCTTTGTTTTTGCTCAGTTTGTTGGTAAATATAGACTTTCTGTGTATATTTATTATAACAACATCATTGTGACCGGGATTACGTCTCTGTGCATGCATACAATTGGTTGACAAGCGGAAGCAATAGAGACAAGCAAATATGAAATTCCCTGTGTAGTTGTGAAAAAAAGGAAGGTCCAAGTGTAAAAAGGCACAGAAGATGTTTGATTCAAAAGAGGATAAAACTTGAGTTGTGCTGGGAAACAGAGTGAATGTTGGAGTAAACTAAAGTTAGAACTAAAGCTCAGGAAGCATGTAGAAATCCCTGCGAAGTTGCCAGACACACTGAAAAAAGTGACTTTTTGGTGCAGTGAACTCTATTAGAGTATTTGTCATAATTTCTACTCTGTCTTTTTAAGCTTCATTAAAAACTAGAGTTTCTGAAGTAAAATTAAACTCTTTTTATGTGTAATACCTGAATTTTGGGGTAAGAGTACATTTTATTTAGATTTCCTTATACTATTTAAATGTTTAAATTAATTTTTGGTTAATCTTAGTGGAAAGTTGCCTGTCATTAATGATTTTTATTTTTTTTGCCAAATAAGGTATATGTTGTTTTGCAAAACATAACAGATACCTTTATTCAAATATCTAGTAGATATTTTATTATTAATTGAGATGGGTAAGACAGTTTAAGCTGTTAATTTTTAATTTGGTTGATTTTGTTTCATTAATGTTGTAACTGCATTCTTAAAAGTCCACTAGTCTGGACGACTGGTTTAAATGTTCAAATTGCAGTGTTTCAGTGTGTAGCTTTGTAAGATTTTTTTTATCACATATTTGATAAGTTGGATGTGGTGTATATGAAATACTGTGTATTTTTTTTTTACAAGTCATATCAACCTTTTCTTTTTTTTTCAGTACAAATTCTAACCATAATGCACTTTTACTATTAATGATATATTTGTACATGTTTTTTTTTCCAGTTAAATAGAGGCATACATCATTTTTTACACCTTGGAGTTTGCATGTTCTCCCTGTGCATGCATGGTTTCTCTCCGGGTATTCTGGCTTCCTCCACCAGTCCAAAAACATGACTACATTTTAGTGTGTGTTCATGAATGGTTTTTGTCCTATTGGTCTCTGTGTTGCCATAAAATTTTGAGTAAGTAAATGTTACCTTATATCTTCACAACTGTTATGTCTTATGAAACATAGAATTCACTTGAAACTGGCAAGTGAGGGATACTTATATATTGCAGCGTTAAATTTTACTTAAAGCTACAGTGTGTAATAATTACAGGGATATACAGTCAGAAATGTAATATATTATACATAACTATGTTATTTATCATCATCTACGAGCTCAGCCTCTTAACCTTAATATTTGCATTGCCTTAGAATTCGTTATTTATAATTACATAGGAGCGGGTCTCGCAGCCATGGAGGCAGACATCTTTGCGCTACGGCAGCGCAGAGCCAAAAAACTAGCGATTGCGAGATCGCCAAAACGTCACAATGATGTAGAAAAAATAATGGGTATATTTATTATCTTAAGTCTACATGAAATCTATACCCTACACAGACTAATGAAATACTATCTGTAAAATTATCTATGTAAACAAACCTCATCACTTGAGAAGGTAGGTGATGCGGACGTCGTGGAAGACATTTTGTCCCGTAACGCTCGCCATACTGTTCGGGGGGAGAAGCGGTGGTGGGGAGATGTTCATGTTGCTGCAGTCTGCAGTCTGACCGCTAGATGTTGCTAAAAGTTACACACTGTAGCTTTAAATCACTTGCATGCAAACAGTTACAATATATTTTTAAAGTAAATCTTATGAGCTGTTTTTTTCAGTGCATGCTAATACACGTCCTCGCTAGTAGTGCTACTAGTGTTAGCAATGCAAAGGCATTACAGCACAGTCACAACTTCAGGACTTATTGAGTAGCTTTGCCTATGGCCACCATCTTGCTTTCTGGTAGTTCAGCAATACTGCTGATAGATGGTAGATTATGTCAGCTCATCAGACCTGATGATGGCGTTCTATTTAGGATCAAAACACTATCAGGACAGACACTTTAAAGGAGAATTCCGGTTTTTAACACTTTTAGCCCATTTTCTGTAGTGTCCAGGATTAAATCGAATGATCGACACCAAAATTTTGACAATTGGTCCTGTCTCTGCTTTTTGGCTCATTTAGAATCCCCCCCTGGCTGCTTCAGAATGGCTTCCATAGTGCATGTCCGATAATGTCCTTAAAACAACCTTAAACGTTCTTTTTTTAAAATATGCTACTCACCGGGTCGTCAGCGCTGTTCAATGACGTTCCAAAAAAAGTTTCGTGAAGAAAAAACGTTCCTGTAGTGTTTTATTTAGCATTTTGTAAATCCCATTGAGTTCTGTTGGAATAGTCAATATTCCCCTGCCACCGGAAACAGAAATGGGGCCTGTTTACACAGTTGTAGTCTTTTCGCTTCACTCTGTGTACTCCGACGTCGAGAATCAAGAATCCACCTTTCGTATTCCATTTTCAGAGTTTTTTAAAGTGTTTAACAGAGACGTTAGCACCTCGACGTCGGAGTACACAGAGTGAAGCGAAAAGACTACAACTGTGTAAACAGGCCCCATTTCCGTTTCCGGTGGCAGGGGAATATTGACTATTCCAACAGAACTCAATGGGATTTACAAAATGCTAAATAAAACACTACAGGAACGTTTTTTCTTTACGAAACTTTTTTTGGAACGTCATTGAACAGCGCTGACGACCCGGTGAGTAGCATATTTTAAAAAAAGAACGTTTAAGGTTGTTTTAAGGACATTATCTGACATGCACTATGGAAGCCATTCTGAAGCAGCCAGGGGTGGATTCTAAATGAGCCAAAAAGCAGAGACAGGACCAATTGTCAAAATTTTGGTGTCGATCATTCGATTTCATCCTGGACACTACAGAAAATGGGTTAAAAGTGTTAAAAACCGGAATTCTCCTTTAATTGTATAGCTTATTTTATCATAATCAAATGAATTTTGTCCTTCTTCTTATAGGTACTGTATATAGCATGACGATGTTCCTTAATGGAACAGTGGAATGAGGAAAGCCATGTAGGTCTAAGATGACAGGTAACTATGATAATAACCTGTTGGAGGCGAAAAAACTGTTGAGACTCAGCAGAGATTCACCTTCCAATAGGGCTGCCTCACTAAATTCACAGCTATACTGGAATCATTTAGCTCAAAAAAAAAATGGAGGATGATCTTTTATTTCCGGGTGGATCATCTGGATAAGTGGTCCTCCTAATTGTCACTCATTCTGGCGATATGTTTACGTAAGGCCGTCCTAACCCCAGTTAGCTATCTTTTTCTGTGGATGTGCATTTTCAGGCATATATCTGTGGTGAGCTAAGGTTTTAAACAGTCATTGAAGCTCACCTTTTTCACCGTAGTTCTTTGAAAATGGCTGAGGGTCATAAGAGAAAAACTGTCTACGAAGTGTATGAAAGAAAAGAAAGGCCTCAGAAGAGGCAGAGGAGAGGGACTTACATGACCATAGGGGCAAAAAGCAGTGATCATCTGTCCGAACGGTCAGTTAACTGAGTTTGCTAAAAAAGTTCACAGTATAGTCCCTGCAGTGTGTGGACACAGTAAGCTTGTATGAGCTTAAGAACGGCAAATTTTAAACAGGGTGTGCACGAGGAGAAACGGGCTTGTGCGTGCTCTTGCACGTGCCTTTTTCCTTAAGATGGAGAGGGTGAGTCTTTTTAAAAAAAACCTCCACAATACCTTTAATGTCCACTTATGTAGTTGCAGTGAAAGGTAGCTATACAAAGTATTGATCCAGAGAGGGTAAACTAAAATGCTCTATATTTGGTCCACTTCTAATCAACAACAGCAAAGATTATTACAAGATTTCTTATCATTAACATATGCTGATGGAAAACTAGGGCTGCAACTCACAATTTTTTCGCAAATCGATTAATCTGTTGATTAATTTTTCGATTAACCAATTACTAATCAGACAACCAAAGCTTTTTTACTAAATTAAACCAGGTGAACCTAAAATGTTTCCACCTAAGGAGTTCTGGATTGAATATACTGACAAATGAAAAAAAAAAAAGTATGTATTTTAAATGCAAAATGTTGACATTTCTTTTATAATTTTTATACAATTACTGCTCTAAGTTGGTTAATCGGTCAACCAAAGGCATAATTTACAGTCTCTCTACTCCATTAACGATTAATCGATTACTAGATTATTTAACAATTATTTCAATAGATTAAATACAATACATTTTTTCAGTCCTATGGCAAACTACTTCATATTGTGTCTCCAAAAATCCATTTCAGTCACTTTATAACTTGCTTCATAATATAAATTAGTTGACTGATCACAACTCATTAAAGCTCAATGCAGATAAAACAGAATTTGTTATTTTTAACCTAAAAACTCAGGCTTGGAGATAAAGACTCAATTCTAGATAAGGTTAAACATAAGGCCGTGTTTACTTAGTGTTCAGCCATCGATACTAAATGAGAGGTGGAAGAATTTAGTTTCAACTTCCTGAATATTAGATGTGCACAAACTCTGGGGCTTTCTTGAATCAAGACGGAAACCAATACAGTCTTCTGCACTCTTTTCCTAAAGCGCAAAGACCACCCATCAGTTTCTTCCATTCTTCCTTCTGATGCAGTGTCCAAGTTTAATTTTTGTACATTTATGTTTAAATGTATTAAATCTTGCCGTTATAAATGTATTTTATTGGAAAACACCTTGAATTACCATGTGTCTAGTGCATTACATACAGCGGAAGCTTGCATTTTGATCGGTTGTAAAAGTTTGGAATGATAATTTTAAAAAAAAGAAGTGATCTACACATAATTAGGGAACCTTAATAGTGTTTGTAGATACATAAAAAGCCCAATGAATGTACAGACAGACAGTCTGCTATGCAAATCCAATTACAGATGCAGACTCTGCATCTGTAGTTGGATTTGAGAAACTCCTCATGATTTAATCACTGGAAACAGCAGTGCGCAATGGTGCGTAATGTTTATAAGCATACTTACTACAAGTGGTATGGAACAGATGAGCACCACCGCCGATGTGGCAATGAGCAGAATGACCATCTGTATCTCCGCGCCTGCCAGATGCCCGAAGCTGCGCGCTCTCCTCCGCTGTTCGGCGTTGCGCGCCGCGTCGTTCCCCAGCGACATCCTGCGCACGAAGCGCCGGTGCATCCGGATCAGAGCGCCGCACACCAGCACGTTGCAGATGACTGTAGCGAGAATGAGAAGCGAACTGAACCCCGCGTACATGTAAGAATAGACGGCATCGCTGGTCTTGTTGCTCCGCCACTCTAAGAAGCACCAGGTCTCCGGGTACTGCTTCTTCACCTGTCCAAAGCCGACTATCGGCAGAGCGCAGAAGAGCGCGTTGGAGATGTAGATGGCCATCAGCGTCAGTCCGGCCAGCTTCTGGTCCACGTAGTCGTTGTAGAAGTAGGCATGATTTATGGCTACGTATCTCTCCACAGACATGGCACAAATGATGCTGAGCCCCGCCAGGGAGAAGAAGAGCAAAGTGAAACCAAAGTATTGGCAAAGCGGGTCATCTCCCGGCCACGACCCCTTCACGTATATGGCGATGGTGACCGGGCTGGCCAGCAGCGTGCCGAGAAGGTCCGTCACCGCCAGGCCACACACCAGCGTGTAAAACGTGCTCTCCTTCTGCTTTCTACGAGTTTTACACAGAACAACGATGGCGATGACATTTCCAACCACTCCGAATATGAACATAATGGACGGAATGGTCGGGACCCTGCCAACCCCGGTCAACTTCGTGTCATTCATCTTTGCTTCAAAACGCGCTTCGCCTCTGAGCTGAGAACTCCTGTTAGGGCCAGTATTTCCAGTCCGAAACACCAAACTGATTTGCTGAATACAGCACGAAGTGCATTTTCAAAAGACAAACGGTGTTTGCAACTCATCTAAAAACTTTCTCAATTCTAAACTATCAGGGTAGAGCAGGCTGCAGTCAGTGAGACACAGAGGTAAATGGAGCCAAGAGACACCAGTGGGTCCTGTTGTAATATAGCTCTGCCTACCAGCTTCCTGGAAAGTTCAGCCCCTCCCCTCTATTTCAATTTACCTCATCAGTTGTGTTCAGCACCACAGGAGACCTTGGATTCCTGATGAGTTTAACCAAACTCTTAAAAAGAACTATGCGCAACACCCGCAATTATGTTTTAATCTCCTTAGAACTGATCATTTTTAACATCCAATGTCAACATCTTGGTTGCAAAAAAAAAACCAAGCCAAGCACCTTTTTAGTACACTACATTTTTTTTTCAGAAGAAAAAAATGTTACCCATCATTGATCAGTGGCACCCTCTTAATTCATTTATTAGATTTCTACTATTGAAAGGAAATCAGAGTATTTAATTATTTATCTGTGGCTTCCTGTTTTTCTGGGGTTAAAGTCAAAGGGGGAAAGGGTACATAAGGTCTAATTCAAATATTAAACAGTGGTAAGCACAGACTTTTTGAAGGGCAGGGGCAAAAAGAAAAAAAAGGGCAAATATAGCACATCCTCACTACTGTACAGGGCCCTTTAACACATGTCTTGGCTCAAAAGGGGCCAGTTTAACATGTGTTTCGGCTCCTGAGAAGACACTTTACCAAGCCTTTTGGTTTCAGACTTTAGTGTACATTTTGGCTCCAGATGGGGAACTTTAGAACGTTTTAACTCCCAAAGGGGTTCTTAAGCATATATTTTGGCTCCCAAGGGTGCACTTTGGCATGAATTTTGGTTTCGAAGAGGTCACTTTAGCAGATGTTTTGGCGTCTGAGGGGGCAATGTTACATGCTTTTTGGTTCTCAATAGGTCACTTTATCATGTGTTTTGGCTCCTAAGTTAGCACTTTAAAAAGGGGATTAGCATGCCTTTTGGCTCTACAGAGGGCACTTGGCAATGCATTTTTCAACAATTGGGGCACAAGGTGTGGGGGAGTCCAAATATAATATGATAATACAAAAAATATATAACGTACAATTGGATAATTAAATGTCCCATTATATAGAATTCTCTGTGAATTAATAAAAAAATGTATTTCATTAAAAATTAATATAAATATTTCACTAAATTTTAATGTTAATATAAAGTGATATAATTGTACATTTTTAGAGGGTCACCAGTCTGTGGCACTGTTATTGTTGGGTTCATGCGTTGAAAAGTTTGGGAACCCTCGCTCTGGGTAATAAGGCTTATTCACTGATGAATCCAATTCTTTCAGGTTATTAAAGGCTGTTACAGTGGGGGTGGAGGTTTGACAGGACCCAAATGCAGACACAAACACTCGAGGTGGTTACCTGAAGGTTTAATAACGAGAGTTCAACAGAAGCAAAAATGCTGAAAACCAGGAATACTCACAAGACAAATTAATGACGACAAACCAGCAAAGAGTGACTGAACAGGAGAAAATTATATGGGAGAGAGAAACAAAGACCAGGCTAATTAGCAGATTGGGAGCAGGTGTGAACAAAGGAGGCAAGAAGGGAGCTAGGGAAAAGGAGACTGACACAAGAGGGCAAACAGGAAATATCTAAGAACTCAAATACAATCAAAAATACCTAGAACACAAGAATTGAAATAAGACCAATGAAAATTTAAAACAAAAAACTTGGACAAAACCATGACAAAGGCAAGTTTTTAAGTACCGAGTACGATATGTTGACCTGGGAAATCCGTTTAGGTGATATTTACAGGTTCAACTCCTTCTGGCCAGTAAATTTAGCACCAAACGTGTAACTTACGAGATCAGAAGAAGAGCTGCAACCTCCACATGCTTTCTGAGACCCTTGGCTTCCTTCTATACTATCGTTCGAAAACCTGACTGATGTTCACCCATCTTTAGTTTTTTTTTCTTTTTTTTTTTTCTTCTTGGCTTGATCCTAAAAATTCCATTTTCTAACCTCTAGCACAAACATACAGGTGCTGGTCATAAAATTAGAATATCATGAAAAAGTAGATTGATTTCAGTAATTCCATTTAAAAAGTGAAACTTGTATATTATATTCATACATTACATACAAACTCATATATTTCAGATGTTTATTTTGTTTAATTTTGATGATTACAAATGACAACAAATGAAAATCTCAAATTCATCATATCAGAAAATTAGAATATTGTGAAAAGGTTCAAAATTGATGGCCCCTGGTGCCACACTCTAATCAGCTAATTAACTCAAACCACCTGCAAAAGCCTTTAAATGGTCTTTCAGTCTAGTTCTATAGGCTACACAATCATGGGGAAGACTGCTGACTTGACAGTTGTCCAAAAGACGACCATCGACACCTTGCACAAGGAGGGCAAGACACAAAAGGTCATCGCTAAAGAGGCTGGCTGTTCACAGAGCTCAGTATCCAAGCACATTAATAGAGAGGCGAAGGGAAGGAAAAGATGTGGTCGAAAAAAGTGTACAAGCAAGAGAGATAACCGCACCCTGGAGAGGATTGTGAAACAAAACCCATTCAAAAATGTGGGGGAGATTCACAAAGAGTGGACTGCAGCTGGAGTGAGTGCTTCAAGAACCACCACACACAGACGTATGAAAGACATGGGTTTCTGCTGTCGCATTCCTTGTGTCAAGCCACTCTTGAACCACAGACAGCGTCAGAAGCGTCTTGCCTGGGCTAAAGAGAAACAGGACTGGACTGCTGGTGAGTGGTCCAAAGTCATGCTCTCTGATGAAAGTAAATTTTGCATTTCCTTTGGAAATCAAGGTCCCAGAGTCTGGAGGAAAAGAAGAGAGGCACTTCATCCACGTTGCTTGAAGTCCAGTGTAAAGTTTCCACAGTCAGTGATGGTTTGGGGTGCCATGTCATCTGCTGGTGTTGGTCCATTGTGTTTTCTGAGGTCCAGGGTCAAAGCAGCCACATACCAGGAAGTTTTAGAGCACTTCATGCTTCCTGCAGCTGACCAACTTTTTGGAGATGCAGATTTCATTTTCCAACAGGACTTGGCACCTGCACACAGTGCCAAAGCTACCAGTACCTGGTTGAAGGACCATGGTATCCCTGTTCTTAATTGGCCAGCAAACTCTCCTGACCTTAACCCCATAGAAAATCTATGGGGTATTGTGAAGAAGAAGATGCAATACACCAGACCCAACAATTCAGAAGAGCTAAAAGCCACTATTAGAGCAACCTGGGCTATCATAACACCTGAGCAGTGCCACAGACTGATCGACTCCATGCCACGCCGCATTGCTGCAGTAATACAGGCCAAAGGAGGCCCAACTAAATACTGAGTGCTGTACATGCTCATACTTTTCATGTTCATACTTTTCAGTTGGCCAACATTTCTATAAATCCTTTGTTTTTATTGGTCTTCAGTAATATTCTAATTTTCTGATATGATGAATTTGAGATTTTCATTTGTTGTCATTTGTAATCATCAAAATTAAACAAAATAAACATCTGAAATATATGAGTTTGTATGTAATGTATGAATATAATATACAAGTTTCACTTTTTAAATGGAATTACTGAAATCAATCTACTTTTTCATGATATTCTAATTTTATGACCAGCACCTGTACCAGTACTAGGATTTGGCAATGCCTGGGTTCCACCTTATTCCCACTGGTGAAGAATCCTTTCCTTTTAAACATTTTACATCAGACCCAGACGTAAATATTTATATATTTTGATGTTACTGTATGCAATGTTGCTTTAAGTAATATGTGTGTGGTTGTGTGTTAGATAGGCCTCCAGTAAGATTAGAAAAAAGATGTATAGACTGAAAACCTAAAATTTCCTTCATCACTCGGCAAGAGCTAAAAAAAATTATGTTATGTGATATTATCTTCCAAACACAGCTTAAATAAAGAACATATCATATTCATTGCACTTCATTACTAGGATATCTGCCATGTATATAAGGTAAATATATACACATGTCAGATATCCTACTAGTTTTATTATCATAAGCAGCATAGCTCACAGGCTGTTTCTCTGATTTCTTATTAAGAACACTGTATGAGGACATTAGAATTCAGTCTGCTGTACTGCAAATAAACACAATGTTCTTTAGAAAGACCATAATAAGCCTGCATCTCTGACATAATAACTACCCTCATTATGATATTTCAACACAGGTCAGTGTGGATTGTTTCTTATAAAAATCAAAAATTTATCCAATGCAAAGACTGGATTAGTTCACCACAAAGAACAGAAAAATACACTTTATGTTTTAGAAAAAAATTTGTTATAAAAATCAGGAATCAACCACTATTTGTGTGGATGAAGAGCAAAAGGGCAGATATTTTACAGTGTAAAAATAAGACACGTTTTCTCACTCTGCCTCCAATGTTTCATGTTGCAAGTCAGTTCTAAAAAAAATCCATAGCTGCCAAGTGCCAAAATAAAAAGAGACATTTGTTTGAGCTTTTTTTAATCTATTAGTTAGTTTATATCAGCTCCGTATTTGAGAAACTTGCCTATTTAAATGGTTGGATGTTGCGGGTATCCCTCCACAAGCCTCTTACACGAATTACAGTAGATGGAGCTTTGGCTCTTTCCTCCTTGTGTATTTGAGTCAGGTTACATATTTTCAGCATTAAAACATTAAGAAATGTTTTCTGAGCTGAATACCAGCTTGTGTGAGTTTATGTTGGCTAGTCTTAAACACTGACTACAGTCCTTAAGGCCCTTAACTAGGTAGTATACTTTGGATCACTGTCCAAATGGAAGACCCAATAGTTTCCAAACTTGAACTTCTTGGCTGATGTTTTGATGCTTCAATATCTTCATATTATATTTGTTCTTTATTATGCCATTTACTTTATAAAGTGCACCACGTCTGCTAATTCACAAAACACCACAATGCAATGCTCTTGGCACTGATGACTGGCCTGATTACTCATTTCATTCACCTGCCTAGCTCCACCCTTTCTCATTACCGTTCCTTTGATCCACCAGCTCCAGCCTCTGTTTAACCAACCCTCAACCAGTCATTAATGTCAGATTATTTAAGCATTGGGTGAGAGCTCTCTAG